TGTGCCCACGGGGCCCACTTTCCCGTTAGAGCTTCGGCTCGTATGTGGTAAGGGATGGCGACCCGGAATTCAAACGCCCGGTGGCATGACACCGTTAGGAGAAGGGATTGCACGGCGCTTCGGCGCTTTCCTTCCCGTCATGCTCTGGTCTTGACAAGTATGTCGGGCCGGCGGCTCTCGCCGCCCGGGGTTTTTCCCTCCCCTCCGCAAGGGGGGGGCCTGCTTGGGGGTTTTCACCAAGGGGTGGGATCGGCGGGGGCCGCAACGGAGGTGCCGCGCGTGACTACCCGAGGGGCTTTGCCCGGAGGGTTTCCCGAGGGGCTTTGCCCGGAGGGGGTCACGCCGGCGAAGGGGTCAGCATGGTCACCCGAGGGGCTTTGCCCGGAGGGTTGTCCCAAGGGGCTTTGCCCGGAGGGGTCCATGCTGATCGGCCACCGGGGCCCGCCTCGCGGGGCGGTTTACCGGTGGCAGGGAGGTGCCTCAGGGTTTCCCCTGAGGTAGGTCCACTCAGGCCGCTCGGACGTATTCCGAGGCGGGGAAAGGCGCGCCGCAGTTACCCAAGGGGCTTTGCCCGGAGGGGTTACCCAAGGGGCATAGCCCGGCGGGTGCTGCGGCCGCCCTGCCCCAGGGCCGCTCGGACGTTTCCGAGGCGGGGCCTGGGGCGAGAGTAGATATCTCCGGTCGGTCGGGACCGTTTCCTCTTCCGAACCGGCCGACCGGAGAGGCGCCTGCCCCTCTCTGAAAGCCTTCAGAGAAGGGCGCCCACATAATGCTGGTCGCCACGGCGTGTAGGGCAGGGCCGGGGAGCGGCGACCCTGTCCAAAGCGTCCGTGGGGCCCCCGGGTGGCGCCGCCCGTCACGGTGCCCGCGCAGTCGGAGGCGTGGGACCCCTGAAAGCCCACGTGGGCGTCAAATCCCACGTGGGTGTGTAAGGGGCTCGGGGTCGGGCCGGGGTGCGGTATCCCCCCGGCCAATGACGTACGTCCCCTCCCCTTGGGAACTTGGGGCCCGGCCTTGGGGTGTGGCCGGTCACGTTTCGGGGCACCCCTTGGTCGGTGGGGGTATACCCTGGGGGACAGGAGCCGTGACGGGAGAGTGGGATCAATTAAATGGCTAAGACTCGTAGTACAAAAAACACAGAGAGGACGAGGAGGGAGGCAGTTGCCCTAACTAGGGAAAGGGAGGCAGACTCGGCAAGTGATACCGAGAATATGGACTTTGATAAAACCAGAGATCCAACGAGGCGCCTAAGACCGGCGAATCAACGTGCAAGACAGCCATTGTGCTGCTCCCGAAGATTGACGCCGAAGGGGCAAAAGAGGGACCGAGCGAGGAAATGAAGGCCGTTGCGCAAGCTACCTCGCTCCCGATAGACGACGATCTACAGATAGTAGAGTCAGTCCAAACGGCCGAGACGGCCGAGACAGGAAAACAGAAGAAGGAGAAGGACTGGAAAGGCACGGACCAAAAAGGGAAACGATTGAGAGTGACCCCCTTTGTCGTCTCCTCCTCCTCTTCCGAAATGGACACAGACTCGGACAACAACAGTGACAGGAACACGGACGCGGACGTGGACATCGAGGGACTGGACGACAAGGACGAGAAGAGGAAGGAAAGGAAGGAAAGGAGAGAAGAGGAAAGAAGGAGGAGAGGTCCAGTCTTTGTGACCAGGGGAGAGAAGAGGAAGAGAGGAAGGCCGATCTTGCCCGGTAAGGGCCAATACGCCGGCCTCGCTAAGGCCAAGAGAGAGAAGGCTCGAAGACAGGCTGAGGAGGAATACCTCCAAGCGGATAGAGAGCCCCAGGAGGAATGGGCGGATAAAGCCAATACCCGCGCCACGAAGACTCTATTAGGAGTCACTGTTGAGGAGGGAGAGGTGACGGAGGAGGAGAGGAGAGAGATTCCCGGACCTCACCGCCACCGAGATACTTGGTGAGGTCGACAAATCTGTGCAGACATTGGTAAAGATTGCCGGCTTCACCAAGGGGTATAAGGACACCTCTCGGAAGGCCCTAAAGGAAATAGCCGAGGTGATCTCCGCCGCCGCCAAAGAGCTGGGCAGACGCACGGAAAATGATGAAAATAGGAAGTTGGCGGAAGAGTACAGGGCTTCCGAGAGGAAATTAAAACCCTGAGGATGGAGTTCTCCATAGATAGGAGAAACGAAGCTCCAACTCCAGCAGCGCCAGCAGCAGACAAGACAGTCCCAACCTACAACCGCCAAATAACAAGAGGGACAAACAGCAACCAAATGCCCCAAGAATCTGCACAACAGGCGCTGGAGAGGAGGATGGGTGACATGGAGGCCTCGCTCGTAAAACAGATGGGCGACATGATCAACGCCAGGATGGCGGTACTTGAGGAGAGGCTGCCACCGGAGAAAAGCCTAAGACCTCCGCTGGGAAAGGCCGCCGATAAGAACGCGCGTAAATCCGACGAAAGACCCCGGAAAACGTACGCGGCGGCCACAGCAAACAAGCCAAGAGAAGGGACGGGGGGGAGAAGAGAGACAAGAACACGGGAACCTAACACCCAGATCCCCACCCCCACTCCCACCATTGCTCCTTCTCCATCCTCGTCCTCCTCCTTGGCGAATAAAGCAGGCAGGGTCCAGAAGCCAGCGCCAAGGCCAAGACCAAAGGTCATCTCGGTAGAGGAGGTCAGCGCGGACCTGAGGACCCTAACGGTCTCCAAAAAGGAGACCATTGATTGGAAGGTGGTTGAGGCCAGAGGCAAGAAGAAGAAGAAGAAGAACACCGACAACACTCAGCCTCAACCAGCCAAAAAGGAGGGAAAGAAATCTGCCCCTTCTTCCTCTGCTCCTGCCCCCAAGAAGACTGCCACAGAAGGCAGGAAGACAACCGGGGCCAACAGGAGTAACGCCAAACCAAGCGATAAGGAGAAGGGTCAAAGACCCAAAGTCAACATTCGTCTCCACAAGAGGGCGGCAATCTTGATTAGTATGCCGTCCCAGAGTGGGGAGGAAATGGAGACGACCAATGAGAAGGGGGAGTCGTCGAAGAGATCCCTGGGCGAAGCAATGGCCGGAATTCAAAAACAGATCCAGATCAAGGATTTCGATATTCCGGCCCTAAAGACCAAGAGGGCGGCCACAGGAGGGATCATTTATGAGGTGCCCGGAGAAGACAGCGCGGCGAGGACCAGGAAGCTAGCCGATGCCCTTAAAAAAGTACTGGAGCCAAAGGGGATCAGGGTATCGATCCCCACTAAAAAGACGGACATGAGGGTCTCATGTCTCGAAGACTCCACGACTCCGGAGGATATAAGGGCATCGGTGGCAGACAAAGGAGGATGCCCAGCCGACGACATCAGGCTGGGCAAAATAACTAGGTCTTCCCGCGATGGATTGGGCACCTGCTGGATACAGGTGCCCTCCGCCGCGGCCAGCAAAATTATAAAGTCGGGACAGCTAGTCATCGGGTGGACGGCCGTCAAGATCGAAGCACTGGAAGCACGCCCGCTCCAATGCTTCAAATGCATGGGAGTCGGCCACACACGCGCCACTTGTAAGTCCCAAATAGACCGCAGCGGACTCTGCTATCGCTGCGGGCAAAGTGGCCACAAGGCAGGCGAGTGTGTGGAGAAGCCTTGCTGCCCGTATTGCAAGGATCACGGTCATAAACCAGACCACAGATACGGGGTCAAGGCTTGCCAGTATGCCACATCGGCGAAGAAAGGAGGAGCGCGAGGCAAGCAGGGACCAGCGGCGAAGAGCAACGAGGGAGGCAGGAAGATGCCGAAGAAGCCAGCTCCGACAGGAGCAAAAGTCAAGAGAGGTGGTCTCGAGGGGGAGAGCAAATCATAACACGCCGCGACTGCGAACGAGACGTAACACACCGAACCCTAAGGCAGTTATCTGCTTTAACAAAATTTCATCTCCTGTATCCAGCAGCTGCTCTAAGGGCCGAACCCATTTGAAAGTGGACAACAGACTTTTTTTTATCAGCAGCCTTCCTTTATACCAGCACCTAAAAGCTGTTGCCTACCTGATATTTTCTTTTTTTTTATACATATATATATTGCTTTTATTTTTTTATATTAACTATTTTTTTATTACCACGAACCTTTTCATTATCATGAATAATTCCATATTATTATCCTATTCTATTTTTAGTTTCAAAACTCTTGCTTAAGATAGCAGATAATTCTTACATACGCGTTACTAAGTTACTTCTAACCATATAATGTGTTTAATTAAAAAATTTAAGTATAAACCTCACCTTTTGTTAAGAACTTTTCCTGATTTATATCAAGTAAAATGTATACGCATTGCAGGATATCAAGTCGGAAGAAAAGATGACAAAATTTGCATTGAATGTTACGATCGCACAAAACCTGAAGGTTATACATCGGTAGATAATCACGGGATCGTGTACAGACAATTGTTCCCCGTTAATTATCAAACTTGTAATCGAGAAATAGCTATGGATATACGTTCAATTTTACTATGCGATAGATGTTTTACGGGTTACGTACACTTTATGAATATTTTTAAAAGATATTGCAGTCACGATATTGCTACTCTAGTTTTGGACGCTTATACTTTTGACGTTCTTTGTTTATATTGCAACGTCTTTTCCTGCTCCAAAACGCCAAGTTCGGACAGGGGAGCGTTCAATTTAAATATTCTAATAATTCTGATAGCAAAACGTCAAAGATCGGTAACAAAAGAGTTAATTACTTGTACTTCAGTACTAACTCGCGGTAAAGTTGGGCGCCAGGCGCATGTAAATGCGCCACGATATTACTGAAAACGGTACTTAAGGTAACTTCTCAAAATTTGATAGTGAGTCGCGGGTCTATAGGATGTTTGATCTATGGTTGAGAGAGAAGTAGATAGAGGCCTTGTTTACACCGAGCACTTGGTACGCGTATCAAGTACTATATTCGTACCAAAATAGCTTAGTACGATGGTGTAAACTATAACGTATTAAGCTGGTACGATACGTTTCGTGATGGCGTATCGTACCAAAATAGTACGCATATTAAATACAAACATACCGCTGTAAACGCTAGAATATTAAGGCTGCGTTTCAAAAATCGTTGCCAATACTGAAAATCTTTGTATGTTGGTAGTAAAATATCGACTCGCTGCTTTAATCTAATTCTCTTAATCTAATTCTTAAAAAAATATGTCGTGTAAAAAAGGTCCAAATTGGTCAGAACAAGAAACAAGATGTTTTCTGGAATTGTGTATAGAAAAACAAATTTTAGCCATCATGGATGGAAGGAAACATAAACACGTTGAAATATTTAAAATGCTTGAACCAGAAATAGAAAAGAGTAGTTATGGGAAAACAGCAGACCAAATAAAATTAAAATTAAAAAATTTGAAGCTTGCATATTTTAAATGTCGAAGAGACAATAATGTCAGTGGAGCTGCAACATCACGTTGTGCCTTTTATAATGAGTTAGAATTATTATATGGTTGTAGACCAACTGCAGAAGCCAGTTCAAGCAATTCCGGAATTGATACAGCTTCTACAGTTAATGATACAGCTTCTATAGTTAATGGTAAGTTTGCAAAAATATTATTAATATTTAAGAATGTTTTTTCTAAAAAAAAACTTTTGTTTAATTAAAAAATTGATATTAAATGAAATTAGAAAAAGAAACTCACTCATACTTGAATCTTATAATAAAACATAAAAATCTATACATTTTGTAGAAGACAGCGAGACTGGAGATATTGATAACGAAGCAATTAATAACTGCAATATAGTGGAAGAAGAAAAAGAAGGAGACACTAATGAAATGCCTAAGAAGAAAAGACGACAATGTAACGGTAAAAACTATAAAATATCATTTTTAGTTTAGTATAGTATAGTTGAAGAAATAAATAAATTTTATTATTTATTAATAATTTATACTTTTATTATACAGGAAGAAAAAGTTATAAGGCAACTTTAGAAAATTATACAGATAAGTGGTTAGAATCACAGAAGTTAATGTTAAATACAATGTTGGAACGACAAGAAAAAATGCAAAAGATATTCATTCAAGAAGAAATGAAAAAACAACGAGATTGGGAAAAACAAGAAATGGAAAAAGAACGAAAGTTTCAACGAGAACAAATGAATATTCTTATGCGAACCTTCTCACAGAGTATTAATTCTCTAAAACCACAAATGCCAGTTACATTAACACATAATTATACACCCTTAAAACTGATTCCTGTAAGTTTTAAATAATATTTACTAATTAATAGACATTTTATACAAAGAGGAATGAGACATTTTTTACAATTTTAGATGGCACAAGCAGATCCTTCAGGGAACATTTTGAAGAAAATCACTGAAACTATCAAAACAACTGAAACTATTGGTAAAGAAAATTTACCAGAAACATAATGTAATACGGTGTATCGATACACCGTATTACATATTACTTTTCATCAAAGTAGAAGTTATTTTTTTTTATTTTTCGATGACTGCAATATAGTATAAGCTCTTTTCTTTTGATATTTTGTAAAGATACAAATTTTATAATGTAACTCGCCAAAATATGATTATTTACTTATAGTTTTAAAAAATTTGTTTGGCTGTAAGGAATATGTTTATTTTATATACGTATAGTTTATTAAGACTGATAAAAAGTAATATTGTGATATATATATTTTTATAAGCAAATTAATTTATAAATCATACCTTAGAGAATTCTGTAGAGAAATAAAGCAATATAAACGAAATTTATTTAATTTTTTAATTTTATAAATAATAATAATGTTACAAAAATGTAATAATAATAATGTTACAAAAATGTAATATGCAATTGTATAGGGTTCACAATTCTACACTAAATAATAAACAGTTCTTATGGTCGTATTAATGCTTTTCTCAATGGAAAATTCTGTGATAAATATTCTTTCAAATGATTTCGCAACTCTGTACCTTGTACTGAATCTCTTTGATAATTAGTTGCACATGTTGGTTGCGGTGTTAAGAGTTGTAATTGTTCAGCTTCTTGTAACCATTCAGAATAGAATCTTTCTTTTTTGCTTTCAACAAAATTATGCAATATACAACAAGCTACAATTATTTCTGGCGCAAATATGTAGTCACAGTTAATTTGATGCAAAATTCTCCATCTTGCTTTTAATCTGCCAAAAGCCATTTCGACAGACACTCGAGCAGAATTTAAATATACATTGAAAGATTCTTGCTCTGCTGATAATGAACCAGAATATCCTTTTAAAAGCCATGGCAATAACGGATAAGCAGGATCTCCAACTATTATAAAGGGTATTTCCATTCCATTAATATTTTGAGTTTCCTAAAAAACATAAAATTGTAATATTATATAATGATATAAAGTATTATATGAGTTTTTTTATTTTCTATTTGTAAAATTATATATATAAAATCTCTCGTCCCATATATTACCTTAGGTATTATTGTATTAGAATTCTTATAAAGAGTACTATCTTTTAAAACAGCAGCATCATGACAACTTCCCGGATGTTTTGCCACAATATTTCTAAACCTATAAAAGCAATTGAAACAATGAATAAGACAAAAAAAGTTAAGATAAATATAAGAAAAAAATATTACCTTCCATTATGATCGACTACTGCTAAAACATTATATGAAGGCCATCCTTTTCTATTAACAAAATCTTTACATCCTTCACTTGGTGGAATAATTTCAATGTGAGTCCCATCAATGCTGCCAATAATTTGTGGAATACCACATTTCTCTTCAAAATTTTGAGCTATAAATTTAGCCTCCTTTTCATGAGGCATGTATATATAATTTTGAAGCATAATTTGATTAATAGCTTTAACTACTTTATATACACACTTTTTAACAGTTGATTTATGGATACCCATTGTATTGCCAATAACTCTATATTCTGCAGTGCTAGCTAATTTATATAGCCACAGCTATTTGTTTTTCAACAGATAAAGGTTCTCTAGGTTTCAGATATTGTGGTTTTGGTTCTAATTCATTTCTGAGTTTATTACATAATTCAGAAAAGCTGAATTTTGTCATGCGAAAACTTTCCAACCATTCTTTTGGAATATAATGAATATTCAAAATTCTTTTCCAAAAATCGGAACTTCTCTCTAATTGCCACATTCTTTGATATCTTATACCTTCCATTGTTAGTGGTATTGATATAGAATTATTAATTTGTAACCACTTCATTAATAACTCATTTCTTTGTTGTAAACATAACCTCTGTAACTTTATTTTTAATTCATATCGTTTACGAATATATAAGTAATTGCCGTATATGTTTCTTCCGATTATCTTGAAGGATTTTTAAAAGTCGAACAGAGTGGAAAATAAAATTCCAATATTTTTTCTACATTCATTTTTAATTTTTATAACGTACAAATGAATGTTCGCGTTCCGGTGATCACTGATCACGAAGCTCGTGGTTCTGACTTCTGACATTTCACTACAAACATACGTTGTGCGATGTAAACGCACTTTAATCAAACGTTTGATGCGCACTAGCTTAATCTGTACTAAAAGTCCATACGGTGTAAACAAGGCCAGAGAGACATACATGTGGTGATACTAATAGACATATATATATTTTGAACACTTAGGACTAACAATTTTACATGTAATAAGTATAGGTTGACAATATAATTATTTAACAAACATTAACATAGAGCTAACGGAATGAAAGAATATAATATCAAGATATATACGAGTATAGCGGTATGACGGAATTAATCTCTTAGCTTTTCATTAATTATAACAATATTACATATTTTAAACAATTTCGCAACAATATTATACGAACGGAATTTACAACGGAAAATCGGTAAACGGTATGCTGTTCTAACTTATTATCGCGGACACGCGGTATATACAGAAGTCACGTAAATATAATTCGAGACACGGCACGATATACAAAAAAAAGGTAACAAAGAGATAACGGCATTTTCGTGACTCTCTCGCACGATTCTCTCGCCGAGTAGAAAAATTGAAATCTTTAACACACTCGCGGAGAACGGCTGCACGCAAATTCCGAAAATCTAATAGTAGAACATGTAAGGAATGTGACTTTGAATATAGCGGTAAACTAGAAGTTACGATAATCGCTCTCGAAACGATTGTTGTGTGCCTCGGGAGAGACACCAGGGGGTCACGCCAAATTGGGATGGGAATCCGGGGCGTCAGGACTTGTTCGGGTGTTTGAAGAAAATGCACTGCACTTTTCTTATTAAAAATCTTTATTCAAATTCAACCACTTGGCCTTTATTTATTTCACCAATACTACACTGAAGCTTTACCGGGTGTGTGGCACTGACTTTCTATCACTCCGCGTATCGCGCACAACTGCGGGTCGATGCTAAGTGCGCGCGCGGTTAGCGAGATCGTGTTTTAGAGCGATTGTTTGTGTCTGCGACTGAACGAGTTGGGCGCGTCTCTACTCTCTTTTTATAATGTTGTTTTTTGGAGTTTTCCCGATCGGAAGGGGTGCCTGGCAACAGGTTTCCCGGTCGAGAATCTAGGTGCAAGCGAAGCAGATTCAAAGTCCTTCTGCTTTGCTTGCACGTTGACCAATTTCTGTTCCGCGTATATCTCGCATTGTATGCGTTTTTAACGCGGTCATTATCTGTCGTAATTGCGGATGTAATACGAGTACTCATTTCTTAATACTAGTTACCTTTTAATAGTTATATCTATATCTTCGGGGGATATAACACACAGAAAAAAATGTAATTATAAAAAATACAGGCCGACTGACCTTACGAGGAAACTGCCAAATTAAAACAGAGGACATGACATTAGAGATAAAAGAGACGATCTACGTAGCAAACATAGACACATATTTACCAAATTTCAACATTGCACCATCACAAGACGAGGACATGAGAGTACTCTACACATTGGATAACCTGACACAACACAACATAGAACTAATAGAGTTACGAACAAAGATAAACGACATAGACAACAATTTACGAGACAACGAACAGAAATTTTATACAAAGAGACAATTTATTTACCCCATGACCTCGAGCGATTTAATAATAACCATAATCATAATATGTATTATTGTCATTGTAATTTGGAAAATAAAAAATAAAAAGACACAAAAAGAAGACCGAGAGTAACGATACTTGACGATGACTGGAATGTACCTTGATCCATACTGAAAAGAAGCAATAGCACACGTTTTTAGAAGATAGGAAACGATTGTAATTATATTGTAAACGGGCATAAAACATTTGTAAACTTTAATTGTAAAATTTAATTGTAAAATTTAATTGTAAGCGAAAAACTACGTACCTTCGTTTTTTTCTTTAACGGGGGAGAGATGTTATATCCCTAAGAGATATAACTATTAATGTAAAACTACTCGTATTACATCCGCTTGACGACGGACACTGACCGCGTAAAAACGCATACGCTGCGAGATATACGCGGAACCGAAATTGCTCAACGTGCAAGCAAAGCAGAAGGACTTTGAATCTGCTTCGCTTGCATCTAGGTCCTTGACCGAGGAGGCCCGTTGCTAGGCACCCCTTCCGATCAAGGAAATTCCAAAAAGCGATATTATAAAAAGGGAGCAAGAGACGCGCCCATGCAGTCGCAGTCGCAATCAGTCGCTCTCAAGACGTTCTCGCGTCGTTAATTAAAACGATCTCGCTAGCTGCGTGCGATCTTAACATCTTCTCGCAGTCGCGCGCGATACGCGAAGTTATAGCTAAATAGTGCCGCTAAATAGATATACGCACAAGTGTATCATTGTTGAAATAAAGGAAAGTCAAGTGGTAATGTGAATAAAAGTTCTTTAATAAGTGAAAAGGTGAAGTGCATTTATTAAATCAACCCGATAAAGCCCTGACGCCCCGGATCCTCATCCCAATTTGGCGCGCCCATGCAATCGCAGTCGCAATCAGTCGCTCTCAAGACGCTCTCGCGTCGTTAATTAAAACAATCTCGCTAGCTGCGTGCGATCTTAACATCTTCTCGCAGTCGCGCGCGATACGCGAAGTTATAGCTAAATAGTGCCGCTAAATAGATATACGCACAAGTGTATCATTGTTGAAATAAAGGAAAGTCAAGTGGTAATGTGAATAAAAGTTCTTTAATAAGTGAAAAAGTGAAGTGCATTTATTAAATCAACCCGATAAAGCCCTGACGCCCCGGATCCTCATCCCAATTAGGCGCGACCCCTTGTGCCTTTCACGAGGCACACAACAATTTGCTTATGTAACGTCCAGACAAATTTCAAAGTCTCAATCTTTTTCAAAATTTTATTCTTTAACCTACTAGTCATGACAATCTCTAACCTGCATGAAAGACCGGTATTAACGAATATTTAATCACACATATAATTACTCATAGGTTAAAACATGTCTTCTCACGAACAATAATAAGATTGATCATTCGTTAGGAAACATAAATAAATTAGAGAATAAGCGCGCTTAAGTACCACAACAAATATAAATATACATATATATATATCTTAACTCC